TTGAGAGTACCGAAACCCTACGCGGCTGTAGAAGCTGAATTTATGCTCTGGGTCGTAGTGACGTGTGAGGTAGGCGAGGATGGCTACAAAGGGTGGTCTATTAGAAGTTCGGCCTTTGTCGGAATCGAATTGCTGGCTTGAAACTTACCAGCACCCTCTTGTACGGCGAAACCGCCTTGGTCGTGGTCTACAATGACTGGGATGCGGCCATTAGGACCGAGTGTGGTGAACCACGGCTCCTTCTGGATGTTCTGGCTAATGTTGATGCTCTGGAAGGTATAATCCTTCCCATACGCTTCCTTCAATTCCTCCAGGAGGATCGAAGCTTTCCAGCCATTGGGTGTGCCAAAAGTCAACAACTCGATGCCCTTGTTGGCCTTCAATCCAGTGGGTCGCTCGTCAGCCATATTGTTGTCCTTTGTTTGTAGTAGAGGTTTTGAGGTATGGAAAGCCCGCTGGAAAGCAAGTTGAGGCCTTGGAGCTGCAATGAAGCTTCGAGAGGGTTGTCTGAGCTGTGAAGAGAGGAGGGGGCGTAATATGGACATGGGAACTAGGTCAGACGCGTCAATGAGGGGTTATTAGGTGCAGCAACGTCGTGCCCCCCTCCTACCATGACGCACAAAAGTGGCTCTCTTTTGGTGCGACACCAACACTAACCTTACCTCAACTCTACCGGTACCTTTCCGATCACTTACGACTCTGATGAACCTTGGTATCTTTAGAATTCTCTTACACATATCATGTACACGGAATCCTATGAATTCTTAACATACTATTCACATGTTACTCTCCAACATATCGTCCTCAAGGAGCATGTGTGCTGTGCCCACGACGTCTGCCAAGAAACGGGCATTTTTTATCATGGAGATAGCGGTAGGTACCGTACTTCCGCGATCTGCTTAACAATCGTAACGCCGCATGACCTCACTGTCAGCGGCCAGCCTAAAAGACAACATTTTGCGGTAATACGCGATAGTCGGGGAAAGCGATGATGATTGGAAATTGCGTGCTTTTGGTTAATCAGACAGTGTAAAGCACAATGAGGTAGGTGTTGATTGCCTGGATGTGTGATGGGGCAGGGAGTATGTTCAGGCATCGATGCAACCGACGGTGTGGTGGCACTCGGATGTCCTAAAAAACCGGTAGAAATTCATTCCGTCATGTGTAATCAAAAAGTCATGGCTAGTGATCCACTCCAGAATAGAATTGAACGACTCGACTGAATGCCGTCATGGCATGGACCAAGCAAAGCAATGGAAGACTGAACGCCTCTCCTGTTGGCTCAGATATACAACTAACAAGACCAAGCCCAAGAAATCCAATAGCACATCATGTGCCTCAAGGGTCTGTCATCTCAGGATATCATCCTTCACGCTCGTGCCTAGGTCCGCGCATGAACTCGTTCGTATCCTAGCTCAATGATAGGACTTCGCGCGCAGATATACTTCGGCTCGGGTTACTACAAACGGCTTCATGTCAACATGACTGTAAAACATGGTAGAGTGCGTCGAGTTCCAGCAAGCTTTTCTTACCGGCGCCTCCTCCTAGTCGAAGACCGAGACGTTGCACTGGCTGGTTGCTCCGCTGTACGTGGTGGCTGCTGCCCCATCGCTCGACTCTTTTTCCGTCCATTGCTAAGGGTGACGCAGATAATGCATTAGTACAAAGCTTGCCAAAAGAGAAGATGTGTGTAGATGCTGTTGATTCCAGCATCTCACCTCCGCCGACTCCTATCTCCACTAGCTTGTTGTGCTGCTTGCTGGGCGGCCTCGTGTCCAAGCTCAGTTCTCAAGGCTTTCAGTTTGTTCTCCGTTTCCTCCCTCTTCTTGAGTTCCTTCTCCAATTGTTTGTCAACCTCGTCGGATTTGCTCTTTAGCAAGTCGATGAGAGCTTGCTCCTGATCTTGGCTGAATGGCACGTCTTCTGCACCCTTTTCTGGTAATTGCGCGCTTCGTTCGCCATTGGGCATGCCGCGCTTCATCCGCCCATTGGCACCCAGGGAAGCCTTTTTAGAGCCACCTTTGCCAGCCGGTACGAGGTAGTTCCATTGGTCTTCCGCTGTCAGAGCGTCAAACAGCGCTTCCGTCGGCTCATTGAATTGCACAACCTCCAGGAACTCGCTGCGTACACAGCCCGTCCTTTCTTGTTCCGCCTGCATCTTCTCATCGCCGTATTTCTCCAGTTGCAAGAAGTGTTGTCTATATTGGGCCTTCTCGCCGCTCATCGGCTGAAAGTGCAGCCTGACATCGATGCTGAAGCCGCCCCAGCCTGTTTCGGTGACTTCGAAGGGCGGGTTCTCGCACGTTCGTAGCGGGTTCTCATACGTGTTGAAGATCTTGAACTGCACCTTGTTGAGCCATGTTGTGAGGGCAGGGTCGCCTTCGGGCTGGCGGACGTAGACAGTCCAGCGCTTGGTGTGGTCCTCCGGTACGCCCTTGGGTCGGTCGGGGTGTCCCGGTGGAGGCAGTTGCCAGGCTTCAGAGCCGATTACTGAGCATGTGAGCAACTAGGCATGACATGTATGTGGGCGTGCTCGTACTTATATTTCGGCTGATGCGCTTATTCTAATGCGCTGTCAGTATTGATAGGAATCGCATGATCCATCCGTCGAGTCTACCCACCTTGACGCGCTTGTTTGCGGCGGGCGCGGGCATCTTAACCAATGCACCTCGCTATTGAAAGGTCTCGGTGTCTTGTGGAAAATGAAGATGGAGCAGCAGGATATGGGTGCTGTCTATGCGACGAATTTCATCTTACGAATGTTGGTTTCTTTTGTTGCTGTCAAAGCGGGTGAGTTGAGGACAGAAGCATGGAAGCTGCGCGCTCTGGCCAGCAAGTTCCCCAAAGTTCAAGTGACGCTACCGGTAACTAACGGCGCAATGCATCCTTGTCAGCCCTATGCATCTCAGAAGCTACCTAGCAACAGCCTCAACTATGAGGTCTTCGTGCGTGCATGTTTTTATGTACGACATCATCAGATGGGCCATTTTCCCATCATGAAAGATGAGAACTTCTATTACGAGATTCACATGTCTTCACTTCCCACAATCGTGTAATGTACCCTTTTGTACTCCAAACCCTATCCACTCCACATCACTCCTCTTCTCCCGGCGACATCCCAGTCCTCAGATCAAAGCCACAAATCAACCCATGCCAGCAGCTCCCCAACGCTCACTTTCCATCCTTCCCATCCTTTTCATCCCTACCCCTCTTCCCATACAACTCCTCCTGCTTGCCCGCGTTTGGCTTGCCCTCAATGCGGTCCAGCGAATCCTCAATCAGCCCGATGTGGCCCCGTAGCGTGCCCTCAATCTCATCGAGTCGCGCTTCTTGCTCCTCCAGATTACGATCTAGTTCCTTGTCCACGCGTGAGCCAAGGTAGGTTGCGAAGCCGGCGACTACGGTGAGGTTTGTGGCTACGAGGACGACGTCGTTTCTGAAGAGACTGCGGAACGAAGCCATGATCGCTGGAGATGAAGTGTGGTAGAGGGTTTAAAGAAGAGGTTGGGAATACTGTTAGAATTGTTAGATTATGAGTTATGCAGATAGCTTCAATGTTGTAGTCGTATTGCGATAGCTTCCAAAAGTATATGGTGTCATGACGACATCGATGCTGTGAAGTCGATGAAGTCTGCATGAATGGATTCAAAAATTTGTGCAGCAATCATTGATCACACGGTAAACAGCGTCCATATGTTCAAAGTATTCAGCTCTAATCATCTACCTACCCTGCCATCGTCTCAACCCAGCTCATCTATCGCACACCTTCTGCAAGGGCAGAAGTGGAGTTCCGCACCCAGACCCTTGTCAGCCCTACCCAGGATCCGCAAGCTAGAGTGACATCAGCATTCAAAAGTTCCCACTCCCCAAACTTCCTCACCTCACACGTCCCCCACCAATCCACGCACACTCTATGGCTACAGCAACAACAACCGCAGCGAAGAGGAAACTCGTCGTCTGCGGCGGCAATGGCTTTCTCGGTATGCAATTGACGGCCCCAAGCTTGCCCTTCTGAAGATATGAATGAGATGGAGCTTACAGATGGCATGAGATAGCTAACAGAGCATCATCAAGGAAGTCGGATATGCAAAGCTGCAGCCCACCGCGGCTGGTCCGTAACCTCCATCTCGTACGTCTTCTAATTCCCCCTCATTCGCCTCCCTCGCCACCTCTCTAACTCCCACGCTCCCAAGCCGTTCCGGCACCCCCCACTGGTCCTCCGTCTCCTCGTCTCCCAATCCCCCAGAATGGTCCACCAGCGTATCCTGGCAAAAAGGCGATATCCTCGACCCCTCTTCCTACACGCAACATCTCGAAGGCGCAGACGCCGTAATACACAGCATGGGCATCCTCCTCGAAGCAGATTACAAGGGCGTGGTCAGCGGCAGGGAAAGCCCAATCAAGGGTCTGCAACGCGCTTTCAGCGCTACAAAAGCAGGGACGCAGAACCCGCTAGATAGAAAGGAAGGCGAGACGCTACGGCCTCAGGAGAGCGATGGACAACTCACATACGAAGTCATGAACCGCGACACTGGTACGTTTGCTCCCAGATGTCGGCCGATACCAACACCACTGTCATGGTATTGAATTGGAAAATGAACCAAGTCTCTAACGCACAACCAGCCCTCAGCCTCGCAAAAGAATCATCGTCAAGAAAAGTCCCAACCTTCCTCTATATATCCGCCGCAGCGGGTGCCCCCGTCCTCCCAGCGCGCTATATCACCACAAAACGAGAAGCTGAATCCCTAATATCCACTACCTTTCCTTCGATGCGCTCCATCTTCATTCGCGCACCCTTCATGTACGACAGCTCGCGGACTTTCACGCTCCCCATTGCGGCGGCCGGCGGTATAGCGAGTATGGTCAACAGTGCGGTAGGCGGACGACTGACATGGTTGATGGGCGCAGGAGGCATCAAGCCTTTAAAGGCCGACTTGGTGGGTGAAGCGGTTGTAGAGGCATTGGAGGACAAAGAGGTGAGAGGCCCCGTCGAGGTCCCCGAGATCGAGAGGTTGGGAACGAGAGCATGGAGGAAGAATATGCTGTGAGATGGGTGTGGGATCATGTCAGGATGTATTGTGGAGCATACAAGGAAGACGGAAGAGTGGGTGAAGGGTGCATAAATCACCGTGTTGTATCTTGAAAAACGCTACGGGAACGCAACAACGCCATTGCACAGGACTGTGAATCATATTCAAACTCCACTCTCACGCACAGAATATCCTGCAGAGTACATAGTATGCAACCTAATCTCAAAAGTCAGTTTGAAGCTCACACAAATACATATCTTTTCCCCTCCCGAAAAGAAGACCCCCTTAAACACTAAAAAGTATCAGTGCTCTCTTTGATCCACAAGACCCCTACCCACGCAATAAACGCAAAGGCGGAGGTGCTTCGGTGACACCCATAGATTACCAAATGCCAGATAGCACCGGCTTTCGCAGTGGAGAACCAGGCGCAACTGGGCATTCAACAAAAAGTGCCGAGCTTTTCTTCGTCATATACTCCCTCATATAAGGTGGAAAAAAAGGAAATGCTACAGGACAACATACCTTGGTTTATGAAGAACGCCGAGCAATGAGATGAAAAAACATGTGCAAAGCGGGAACCAAACGGCCAAGACAAAGAATGGCGATGAGCGGTAGAAGCTGAGACGCAGGTATGAATGAAGAGGCTGGACGACTAGCTGTTCGTTTCGTCGACTTCACTTCTTCCGACTTCCCTGGCTGACAAGTTTCTTCTTTAGGTGCTTGGGCATCTTATCCTTTCGCTTCTCCCTTTTTTCTTCCTTGATGGCCTTCTTGTGCGCAATCTTTTCTTCCTTGTCCATGTGCTTCTTCCCTCTACTCTGCCCTTTTTCAAAAAGACTTTGGTCGAATTCGGAACTGGCATTCGATTCTTCATCCGACTCGTCTTCAGGGGAAGCGTCAGACTCGTTTTGTGCATTGACAACCTTGTCAGGGAGGAGGGATTGATAGGGCAGCTCGGCACCTTCGCCCTTGTGCACAAGTTCGGCGTCACGCTCAATATCGTAGACTTGATCGAGGGTTTGCGGAATATACGTGTTGCGGAAAACCTCGTCCTTTTCGTTCTCCTTTTCGCGGGCCTCTTCCGTCAGTGGTTCTTGCTTGCTCATGACTTGTCGAGCTAGGTCCTCAATTTGGGATAGGTTCTTCATGTCTTTTGCGCCAACATCGCTGGTTACAAAAGCGAAAGCTTTGCGCTCACTCAAAGTCTCGACGTTGCGCGAACGAAAGAAGTCGGAGATGTTCTTGACGTCCATGCGCAGGAACTCGAGGGAACGCGGGTGGTCATGTTCGACGGCTTGAGAGACATCAATGAGCCATTGCTTACCCTCGTGGAAGAGGATGTTGTACTCGCTGAGATCAGCGTGGACCAGGCGGCAGGTCTGGTAGAGGATACGCATGTAGCTCAACAACTGAACGTACAAATCTGTCCACTTTGCGTCGACTTCTTCTGGCGACAAATGCTCAAATCGCACGTCTTTGAGCCGTGGCGCAGCGTTTCCTTTGCGATCGCCAACAAGGCCCATGACAAGGACATGCTTGTGCAGCGCGATGGGTGCGGGGGAAGGTATTCTTGCGTCGTAGATTCTGGCGAGATTTCTGCGCTCCTTGTCGGCCCACATCTTGACCATGTCGCGGTTGTTACTTTTGTTGAAGCCTTGTCTGAATCGGAACTCGCCTTGGACATATTTGGCGCGGTCCTTGAAGACTAGAATAGATGTCTTGTAGACCTTGACAGCGCGATGGACAGGGGCTGCATCTGAGTCCTGGGGCTCGTTGATGGCGTGGTATACGTTTGCCTCCTTGCCTGTGGATATGACACCGTGAAGTTCGGATATGATGTGACGGTTGATCAGGCGCAGTAGGATCATCTGCGTCCTTCTGTCCAATACTTGCTCGACTGTCGCTCGATCTGCCTTGTCCTTGCTGCGCGAATTTCCTCCTGTCGCGCCTGTTGCCTTGCCGGTGAGGCGAATCTTACCGGCATGCTTGGCCAGCGATTCGACCTGATCATCGATCGAGGCGTTTGTGTTCGCTGAGGGCTTCTGTGGGTTCGCTTTGGGCTTGTGATCGGCAGGTATTGATGCGTCGTTGAGTTTTCGTTGTCGGTTGTAGGACTTGGTGAAGTCGTTCGCGTCGGAGGAGACTAACTCGGGTATAATGTCGTCTTCGTCGCCAGAGAGGTCGGACAAGTCATCCATGTCCTCGCCGTTGTGGTCGAGCCCTTCGGTGGCGCTGGCCTCGTTCTGCGTCAGCTGAATGCCGTCGGACTGTGCGCTTAGAGGCGGCTGGTGAGGTTCTTGCGACGTCGCCATAGTGGGCAACGGATGGAAGTTGGTTTTTTCTATGCTCCTTGTGAATGAGGGTGGTTGTATGTATACACAAAAATAAATGTGGTTGTGTTTGTAGCCCAAGAAAAAAAGTTGGACTACGGTGCATTTGTTGTTCCGGCAGAATCGCGGGCGGGGGAGGGGAGGGGCAAAAGCGGTGGGCGCTGGGTGGCTGTGCTTACGTCACAGAGGTGTATTGTACTTTATTTTGTACAATACACAACCGTCACACAGCGAACTCCTTGGCCTCAGTTCTACCGTTCAGGCTTCGGCAGACAACTTATCGATAGGCACAATCACGGCCATTCACTGCCTTTGACGTCACAGCCCTCCCCTCCCCTCTATCGTGTACACACTCCTCTCCCTATCGCGTGTACCTATAGCAGAAACGTCGGGCACCCTTCCTCATGGAACAAAGTGACCGTTAGTCGAGGTGCACCAGCTCCGTGTCCACTTTCAAAACATCACATTAACATCACAATAGAAGTAACTTTCAACACAATGAAGCTCCATCTACTGGTACCAAGAAACAATTACCCGCCCGTTGTCCCCTTACCGAGCGCACCATTTGCGCTCATCATCCCACCTTCGTGTCAGCAGGCGGCTGTTTGTCTTCGGCCGACCAACCAGCTACCAACACTCGTATTCAAATAAACTATTCAAGGCGCCTTGGATTGTGCGCAGCAACATCTTCAGGGCGGCAGATCATTTCATCACAGCTGAGAGGGATGACACGAATACATGATGTCATTTTTGAGACGATCGCACGCGAAAGGTGGTTGGAATGCGTAACAATGCCCATCTCAATCTCTCAGGCCAAACCATACCATACCAAACCAAACCCCCCGCGGTTCAGCCTTGTAGCCATGCCGTGGCCTGCAGGGTCCAGTACTACATATCTGCTGCATGTCATTGTAGGTAGGTATACCTACTCTAGCATCGCAATCAACAATTCCCTCGAGATGACGCTCTAAAAATACTACAGATGTCTTAATACAATGAGCATGCAATATGGAACCCTGGCATCAGCTCTGAATGCTCACCTCTTCTCTCCACAGCACCGCTTCACCATTGGCCCGGAGTGGGCGACTCTTCATCAGCATCGGGTCAGGGGGGGATGAATGTGGCAAAATGCAAAATGCAGGGCTTTGGTGGCTTTGAAGGAAGAACATGGTCCAGGCACTTCTGGCCTCTGATAGGCTGAACCGCTCCGGCTGCCAAATCAGGCAAGCGGTTTGGTCCGTTTGACACACCCTAGTCTCCACCCGGGCTTCATGAAACGCATCAGGAGTGCAAAGGAACATCCATCTTGACCATTCATATCTGCTTACCTTCCAGAGCCAGCCGGCGTGGGCGGACGCGCGAGGGGCCGCATGGCTTCGCCCTGCCGTTGACTACTCATGCCTGGACACGGAGGGTTATGCTGGCCTGCTTCTTATAGTCGGCGCTCCTCTTACATGTGGCATTCTCACATTCTTCATCCAACCTTCTGCTTTCCCACCTTTCCTCTGTCCCTTCTCTCTCTTCTCTCTCTTCTCTCTCTTCTCTCTCTTCTCTCTCTTCTCTCTCTTCTCTCTCTTCTCTCTCTTCTCTCTCTTCTCTCACTTTCGGACGCCGGACGACCCCACTCATTACCTTGTCGCGCCACCGTTCTTTGTTGAACACTACGTTCTTTCATTCACCATTGTTGTGACTTTGCGTCTTTGCGTCGGTCCCCTACTTTAGAACATCAATTCCTTTCAAGATCTTCTGTGAAGAATTGTCCATACGAACGCAAAAGCTAGATACGAATCTCCAAGGTCGTATCGGCAATTCCCTGCGACTCACGCTCGAAATAACCAGATACAATTAACAAAATGCGTTACACCTCATTTGCCGCTGCGAGCGCATTGGCCGCTATCGCCAGTGCTCAAACGTTTACCGACTGCAATCCCATGAAGAAGACGTGCCCCAATAACCCTGCTATGCCCCAGACCTGGGACACTGATTTCACTGCCGGAAAGGATGCCATCAAGGGCTGGAAGCAGACTGCCGGTAGCCTGACTTACGGACCAGAGGGTGCTGAGTTTATCATCGCCAAAAAAGGCGACGCCCCCACTATTGGCAGCTCGACATTCCTGCACTACGGATATGTCGAGGTTGTCATGAAGGCAGCTCCAGGTGTCGGTATCGTTTCTTCCATCGTCCTTCAGTCCGATAACTTGGATGAGGTGGATTGGGAGTGGATTGGCGGTGTCGACAACCGCGTCCAGCAGAACTACTTTGGTGAGTGACCCGCATAAACAAATGATGAGACATGTTCTGACTCAGAATTAGGCAAGGGTAACACCACCACCTACGATCGTATGACCGAAGCACCAGTCCCCAACAACCAGAACGAGTTCCATAGTTACGCTCTCAACTGGACAGCCGAGTCGCTTACCTGGATCGTCGACGGCAAGCCGACCCGCACCCTGAACAAGGCCGATGCCAATGGCGGCAAGAACTACCCACAGACTCCTTGCAATGTCCGTCTTGGCAACTGGCCCGGTGGTGATTCTGAGAATGAGGGTACTCGTCAGTGGGCAGGCGGCAATGTGACTTGGGATAATGCGCCCTTCAAGATGACCGTCAAGTCCATCAAGGTCATCAACTACTCACCCGGCACAGAGTACAAGTGGACCGACAAGACCGGAAACTCGGAATCCATCGAAGTCATCGGTGCTGGCAATGCTGAAGGTGCTCCTGAGAACACCGCTGTCATCGAAGCCTCTGCTACCGCTTCCGTCGCTCCTCTCGAGTCCGGCGTCGCTCCTAAACCGACAGGCATCACTCCCAAGCCCTCTGGTGCTCCCGACTCTGATGATCCCGACTCTGATGCTCCTGACTCCGATACCCCCGACTCAGACAGCCCAGACTCGGACGACTCGGACGACTCTCCCTGCGAGTGCGGAACAGCCACCGTAACTGTCACTGGTGCACCACCAGCCACCTTCACCACCGAATACCCAGCCGTATCCATGCCCCCACCTCCCCCTTTCCCTTCCTCTGGTCTCGCAATCGACACACGCTCGGCGCCTTCGGCCCCCAAACCCACGGCACCAACGGGAGCCCTGCCCGATATCCCGGCTCCGCCGGCAACCAATGCGACGAGCTCACCTGCAGTACCTGAATTCACGGGTGCTGCCACGCAGCATAACGCGGCTGGCATGCTAATGGGTGTTGTGGCCGGTGCGGCGTTATTCGTCTTGTAGGAGGGACATGGCTTGTGTTGGATAGAACTGGCTCATACAGGGCCTTCATTTAATGTACATATTTTTTTTGCGGGGCGATTGTATTTGATATGCTCTCGCCTTGTCCAATTTTTTTGGTTGGTGTAGGTGTGGGTATAGGAGTGATGAGAAGTTGCGTTAGATTGCAGGAGTGAGATGGTGGGGGTGTTGGGATTATATAAGAATAGAAATCAAACTCTGCTTGAGAAAGGAATTTGCCTTGCGTCCCTGGAAGAAAACGTTTATATGGCGTGTGCTGTTGTGTATATAGTCTTGGATTGCCTCTGTGAGATGGACAGTATATTGGCTGTGTTGGTCGTATACCTAGTGTACAAGAGACTAGTCAAGAGGAGTCGATACCCACCTCAAAAGAGATGAGGTAAAACAGGGAAACTGAATGGGCATGGGACTCGTCCCTAGTAACGGTGATTTAGCTTAGCGATAACTTGAGTGCTGAAGAGCAGCCGTGCATGCTCGTAAGCATGAGCTATAACACCGTTTGGATATAATTATAGCATCAGCGTATAGTACGATTTTCAGCACAATATCCATTCCAACACGCGATATTCTAGTACACACTGATCCATCCTCACTTGCAACCCCCCTTTCTCAGCCTACAACCCATTTACACAAGCACCCATCCCCATCCCCATCCCACGCCCGCGCCCGTCCAGTCGAAGATTGGCCGAGCGGAAGCAGCACCGGTTCCGACACCGTGGCTACGCTGCCGTCGTCTTGGAGCGTGATTTTCTCGCAGTAAGGGGATTGCGCGGCTGGTGAGATGGATTCGAATAGCGTGATAGTGTGGGGGAAGGAGGGGATGGGTAGTATAGTGGAAGGCGGGGTTGTAGGAGTGGTGGTTTCTGGCTGGTGGATGGAGATGGAGCCTTGGAGGTTGGTTTGGGTGAATGTGCAGCGCCAGAAGGAGTTGGAGGATTGGAGGGTGGGGGGTGTTGGGGTGTGGTGTGTGGATAGCTCGGATGCGTGGAGGTACACGGTCTTGGTGTGTGTGGTTTGGAATTGGTATGTCTCATCGTTGGAGGGGGCGTGGATGGGTACTGTTAGTTGGGTTGGTGGGAGATGGGAGAATTGGTGGCCGGGTTGGAGGTTATTGTTGGCAGGGAGGGGCCCCAAGGTGATGAATGTTGTGTTGTTGTTGTCGGCTGGTGAAGGTAAGATGCTTAATTGCAAGGTCATGTTTGATGCACATTGCCATGCTACCGCGTCGTTCAAGTCTGCAAGACAGGCCGAGCTTTGTTGTTGTGGGCGCGGAATTGAGATTGCAAATATCCCACGCGGGATCGAGTGGAACGCCTTGGAATGTGCAGAATCGTTGCCTGATGTATGAGTCTGGGGTGCAAGATTGCTTTGAGGCGTGTTAGATGACTGTATCGTTGCGAATGACTTCTAGACTGACCTTTGGGCCGAGCGTCGTTCTACGCTCATCAAAGCCAGTCCAATCGTTATAAGCATGATGCATTGCGTAAAGAGCAGCGATAGTATACGCTTTCTAGTGGACATACGTTGCCAGGTACTTCTAGGCAGACTTGGTAGAGGCTTCTCTGCTATTTTCATCCTAGTCTGAGGTTCGAACAAGACCTCTTTCTCGTCCTGATCGGGACTAAGTATCGGGGCTGAACTGCCCTTGCACCATTCGAAGGGAACTACCTCGATGCCATCTTCAATATGTTTAATCAGACAGGTTCCAGAATTGATGGCCGAGTCGATACTTGTCTGAGCGTTGCTGTGAGTTGCAGGGAAAACCGTGTATATGCTTGGAAGTGCTTGGATGTTCTTGACTGATCGGTAGGGGAAAGACATGGATGCGAAAGAAGAGGCGCACAGCGTACGGTTAGTTTAGATTAAGGAAAGCTGTGAACGAAAGGCAGGGCATATGATTTCTGGTCCAGCCAGACTCCAAACGTCTCAGAGATATAACAAGCAAAAACACAGATGAAGATAGCAACCGGCGCACAGTCTTCAGGCTTCGACTTTGCAGGGCCACTGTGAATTATAGGACAGACTATACAACCACCTTTCTGTACAATTGTTGAACTCCCGGCCCAGCTTCTACTACGCCACATTCCCCCTGGAGCACACTGTCCATTCGGAGTATGTTGCGTAGACTGGATTATACACTAAATTTCGTCAACTCAATGCCGAGCAATAAGAGAGTCAATCGACCGAGGGAACAGCCCATAACATGAGTAAAGCTTCCGGATGAGGAAGACGTGTAGGAAAGAGAACCTAAGAAGCCTAAAATGGTTGGATGTACATTCGCCATAGCGAGGGTAGGGCCCGTGCATAGCCGCCCGATGCGCTCCTGTATGCTGGCCGGGGAACAGGTCTCATATCGTCGCCGATGCCGTTGTGAACGAGCTCAAGGAAGAATGGCCAATGTAGTAGTCAATACTGCTCACGAAAATGAATATTCCCCCGTCTTACGTCCTACAAAATGGTGCCATTCAAACCAGAATTTCAGTACCGATCTGCCAAAGATGTGTTTGGTGTCGTTTTGTGCAGGTGAATTGTAGGATGTCGCTCCTCTCTGTTCGAGAGTGGGATGGGATTGCAGACCAAAGCACTTGACTTCTACAAAGAATCTTAGCTTGCTCACAATGTCCAAGGCCTCACTTCCTTCTTCTAAGGAAGAAGCTGGGAGTCAAACAGAGTGCCGTGATATCAATAAGCGCTGTGACGTAGGCCGCGTTCAGGGTCACTGATGAGCGGCAATCATCCTTCTATTAAGATTCTCGTCGACTTGGGGGTAGGGAGAGAGCATGAGTTTGCTCCTCGAGAAGTCATCCCGCCCATCTTCACACCGAATCATTCGTGGGTTGCAGAGGGCACAAACATTGCAAACTCGGAGGCTGGGTATGTTGGAAGCTAGTGCCTGATATGGTTAGCGCCAGTGTGAGCGTCATGGGTTCCCAGTCACATAGACGTCACTCCCCTTGATCATTACTCTTCGCTCCGTGCCGCAACTTTACTTTCCAACAAATAGAAACCCGGGGTCCGCTATTACCATGCCCCCCATTCATCGCGTGGACGGACAGTGATGTGCTTGTTCTTTTGAAAGGCCTCCCCTTGCCTCAGATTTCGGCCCCCTGAGCTGAACCCTTAGTCCATTCCAAAGTAGGACAACTATGTACCCGTAGCTGTCGTGCAATGTTCCCTTTGAGCGTCACACCAAGAACAACCGGCATCATGGATCAGAGAGCGTGAGAACGTGGCTTCCTTGCGATGCTTTGACCGAGTCAATACACGGTCTGCCCAGCAGATTGTACCCCATTCGATCAATTCGAAATCCAAGGCCAAACGCTGGTCTCCCGAGAACTTTATTGCCACTTGTTTCGAAACATGTCACATCGTCTCAACGCTGTCCGGACCCTACAAAACTCATCGTGCAACTCCAACAACCCAAGCCAAGGTCGGGCTGGCAAGTGAACAACCATGATAATCTCTCCGCACCTCGCTTTTCCCTCATATCGTGCAAGTGTTTCAGGAGGCAAGTTGCATTCCTCCGCGGATCCGAGCACGCGCTATAAACATGTTCTACACATGTGGCTTGTTGTCCTGACCAAGGAATCCGTGTTGACCCTTGCTTTTCACGACACATCGATTCTAATATTGACCACGATTAGCTGTGCTGAGTTGTAAGGCTGCATCAAGCTAACGTGAATACGTGGTGAGCTCATAGACAGTCCGAGACGTACTACCCTGACGGCAAGAAGGCTCAGCCGCAGGTGGGGGGTATAATTCTAGTGGGTTCGCTCACGTTTTTGGTGGCTCTGTCATCGTTGTTCTTATCCCTTTCGTCTTCAGTATCCGTCGAGCTATACGATCATAATGGGCAACTCACAGCATTTACAACACACGAGGTCGACATCCAGCGCATCCAGTACTATTCCGGTCAGAGCGTCGACGTATTCCTGGCCACTCTTCGCAATCAATGGCTTGCTCTCAACACTATCCATCATCAACCTTGGGCTGATCAGCTCTACCATTGCATGGCTGCTGGAGCAGAGGCACGGCGTTCATAGCTTCCAAATAGGATGGTCAGGAAGGTCTACTCCTCTCAACGTCGAGCCGAAGAATCTCTGGGTCGCCCATAATTATGAGAGTATCGCTGCTGCGGGTTATGGCCTCCTTGTGGGCATCTTTGGGATGATTACAGCTTGGAGGATGAGAAAAGCAAGTCGTGTAGGTTCTACTGACGTTGGACCGTCGCATGCGTTACTGATGCAGAATTATAGCGTCTGAAAAGCCTTGATGCACTAGCTGTATTCCAGCTCGTGGCCATTCTGTTCACACTGTCGGTCCTCATCTTCGTCTTCATCGTCACACATGGGACCAATGGCCAGCAGATCCGCGAACCGGTAGCGTCCAACAACATTGGTGTCGACTATTTTGAATTTACGTGGACACCGGAGACATGGATGACCGCTATTCTCCAGCTTCCCTTGGTGGATGGTAGCCAGCGCAAGGAGATCAGCAGCAAGGTGACGAACATGGTTGCTTGGCGCTGGATGCTAGTTGCAATTTTGATGGTGGATTACGTTGCATTGACTGTTACACTGATCGCTTGGCTGAAGCAACGAAGAAGCGTCACATCTCGGACGAGCTCAGCCGACTGGATTGAGAAATGAATACATGTGTTGGGTTTCGATAGAGGGGATGACGTCTCGCGTTGAAAAGGCGATAGGATAGGTATGACCGTACGACCTCAGCTGTATTATCAACGGTTATTTCTTCTTCTCTTCCTCTTTGCATGGTTAGCATTTAGCGGAAAAGCAGGAGTTGTTATGATACCTAAGGCAATCACTCGCACTCACTATGATGACAATCAGTTTCTACGATGAGCTTAACCTGAGCTGCCATGCGGTTCGAAGAGCCACGTCATGTGGAAGTATCGCTAGTGCCCGCAATTCTGCATGTGAAGACGGGTACGCACGTGACGCCAGACTCGCTGTGCAAGGTGGTGGTGGGTGGTCATGGGAGGATTTCAGGAACGATTTGCAAGTCACGAGCGCACGGGCACAAACAAGCTTGGTTAATTCCAAAGAATTAGCGAGACTCTGCGAACCTCGGCGCGCAGTTCCATGACTTGGGCAAGCATAGCATAGGTACCTACAGAGCAGAAGAAGTGAAGTCTGTATTCCCGCCACCACCACCACCACCACCACCACCCTCCAGGCTCTCTCTCTCTCTCTTTCTCTCTCTCTCTCCCCTCCCACGAGTCTTTCGGCCTCGGTCAGCAGTGCAAAGCAGCGCACAGGAGTGGCGGCGTCATCTGGACAGGCGCAGAAGTCTCGACCTGACTGCAAGTGCAAAGCCTACCATACCTAGTCACTTGCTAGATCACTATTTGGAGTGATTTTTGAACTAGTTACACCGCTCGCTCTGCTCTACCACTGCCTTATTCGGATTCGGTTCCATCTTCGCCAGGCGCATCGAGGTTCAAAAAGTCGCGACCTCTTGCCATGGGCTGGCTTCTCAACCTCGCAGCCACGCCAGCTGTCCTTGTCATCACCATGCGCGCCCTCTCTTGTGTGCTCCCAAGGGGACCCGCACAACTCTTCCAGTACTACGCCTTCCTCATCACGGCCTTCTTCATCATGATGGCCTGCGCAACCTATGGCGTCGTCGCTGGTATTGTGCTGAGGCTTGTCGGCTACGGTGGCTTGACGCAGTGGACCGTTGCGAGGGCCTTCAAGTGGAGCATGTGGCTCACCACAGGCACGACCTTTCGGGTGACGGGGAGCGTCAAGCGCAATGGCGGTGTCAGTGGAGAGGATGCGCTGAAGGAGAGACCAGTGGTGTTTGTGGGAAACCATCAGACGTATGTCGATTGCACTGGCACAAGTGCTTTGCTGCACACAAAGGGTCCGCAAGGCTGACCTACCACACAGAGAACTCGACATCCTCATGTTGGGCTGCGTCTTCCCCAAATACACGTCGGTGACGGCCAAGAAGTCGCTCAAGTACATTCCCTTCCTCGGCTGGTTCAGTGCGTAGATGGCCATTTTCTGCCCTCAGCCTCGCGGCCGGCTGGTTAACATGATTGCAGTGTCCCTCTCCAAGACCGTCTTCATCGACCGCGCGAACCGCACCACCTCTCGCGCTGCCTTTGATACGGCCGCAGAAACCATGAAACACACACGGCAAAATGTCTTCATCTTCCCCGAGGGAACACGATCCTACGCATCCACACCTACCATGCTTCCCCTGAAGAAGGGCGCCTTCCACCTAGCCGTGCAAGCACAAGTCCCCATTGTGCCCGTCGTATGCGCAAACTACAACCACATTCTAGACACCAAGAACAAGCGGTACACTCCCGGTACCATCGATGTTACCATACTGCCACCGATCAGTACGGTAGGCAAGACAGCCGATGACGTCAACCAACTGCTAGAGCAGACCAGAGACGCCATGATGGACGAACTGATCCGCTTGTCGCATGTTTCGGGAGCAGGCAATGGAGAGCCACTGCCGAGAGCATCAGGTGTTGATCAGTCGCGAGACGAGCTTAGGAAGAGGAATTGAGGGAAGCTCTGAATACGCGACGAGGAAAGGATGCATGGATTGAAGAGGATTCCTTTGCATATGGCGTTTGGCGCTCCAAGGTCCTATGCATGTTGATATCCACCAAGTTGGGCATGTTTTTGCAAACTTGCTTTTGGGAAGTAGAACCTTTAGAAGCAGAACCTGCATGAGTAGTCTATCAATCATTATTACCTTTACAGCTGCTTTGAGGTGGCTAGTCATGTGGTTTTGATACATCAGGCTAGGCCAACGCCTTGCCGTTTAGGCAATGTTCACGCCCTCGGTTGCATGGACGACGGTAACTACCCCTCACTCCCATTCAGGCATCCCGAAGCCCAACGCCACTCATATGATCCAACTTGATACGATGTTGACATATAAGAGCAGCACGGGCGTCTTGTGTAGAAGTAAAGGAAAGAGAGTAGTAGACGTTGTATTGCTTCAAGTACAACGTTCAAACTAATCCCTCCCCTTTTCCCTACTTACCTACATGCTACACATACAAACCCTCCACCACCACTCTCCTAGACAGTATCCAGAAATCCAAACACAACCCTCAACAAAATGCCCCAACTTCCCCCCAAACCCCTCCCCTTTACAGTCAAAGACAAAGTCGCCATCATCACAGGCGCCGGCTCAGGTACGCACACACATCCCCCCTAGCCATGACACTCAACCTCACATCTCCCCCCCCCCTCTCCTCAAAAAGGCATAAACCTCTCCTTCGCCACCCTCCTCCTCTCCCACGGCTGCAACGTCCTCCTCGCAGACCTCCACCTCCGCCCCGAAGCCCAAACCCTCGTCTCCCAATACCGAAACCCCCACGCCCGTCCACGCGCCCTCTTCCAACACACAGACGTCACCCACTGGCCCGACCTGACCGCGCTCTTCACCACCGCAGCCGCGGAATTCGGTCGTCTGGACATTGTGTGTCCCGGCGCGGGCATCTACGATCCCGAGTCGAGTAATTTCTGGCATCCGCCCGGGGTGGAGGGGGGTAGGAGTAGGGATGATGTGGCAGGGGGGAGGTATGCGAGTTTGGATGTGAATTTGACGCATCCGGTGCGGATGACGCAGTTGGCGATTCGGGCGTTTTTGGGGGAGGTGAGGGAGAGGAGGGGTGAGGGGGGAGATGGGGTGGGAGGGGAGAGGGAGAGGGAGGAGAAGAGGGTGGTGTCTTC